CTGACTTGGTTCATGTGTAGCGTGGCAACTTCAATTTGACGATCCCGACTTCGTGGTATCTTGAAAAACTGGCACAGGACACATTGGGAATGGATTGGAAGAGTAGTGTGTAAAGCAGCGACATCACGCAAGGATGCGTGTAAGTGCATGTTTCGATAGCTGTTCTTTCTCTTTAATATAATTCGGGCGCCGTGTAGTAATTTGTCCAAAACTCCCGTTCATAACAAATGAGAGTTAGCGTAGTAGTATTCAAAATAGTGTACAGTCCCTTCCACGGCTTAGTTTAGCGTTCTCTCAAGAATTGCCGCCCATCAACATTCTCGTCATATATCCGCTATGAGCTCGCAGAGTATCTGGGTGTTCCAGCCATTTGCATTTATGGAAATATCCAGTATCTCCATACGACGCTCCACCAAAAGATATTCATTCTTTGCGCCTAGACTACTCCAGATTTTATAACGCCAGCCATTCTAGTAGAATACAGCTTCATTGCAAGCGGCTAGTCGTCCCCCAACATAACAGCCAGGGAATAGCAGCTTGATTATGCCAATGAACTGGTCATCTCATTTGAGACTGCCGAATGCACGATTTAACTCTTCCCTTTCACTTGTTGAAATTGTATCTGGGCTAGTTTCTGTATTTTTCTCAGTAGATAGCTGTTGGCTCGTCTGGGATGGAGCATCGGCTTCAGATATAACTCGGGAGACTTTCACTGGTTGCAGAAGTTTTTCCTCACGGTCCAGCCAGCCGGGCGCAATTCTCCTCTTTTCTGCCAAGTCGCGCTGTTTTATTGACTCTTCCCAATCCTTGATTGCGGCAAGACTATCTTCTCGAATCTTTTTCATGTGTTTTTCTAGGGCTTCGCATGATGCGAGGACATCACTAGGGTGGGCGGTATGGCCTCTCCCCGGAGAAATGACATAGCGAGCCTTCTCTAGGCCGCTGGGGTCAACTGTGGCTGAGGGCGGGAGTGTGGACGGCACAGATTTATATGTATACGGAAGTGTCGTGGCTGTAGGCAAGGATATAAAGGGGGACACCGTCAAGGGTATTTGAGCCAAAAGCGGGTGCGGTTCTTCAGAAGCGATCGTCAATAAAGTCATAGATTCTTCAATCGGACAGAGGGACTAGGTAGCAGAACAACTACTGACTATATGATTCATACATGGCTCGTGGATAAACAAAAACCGATCCTGGGCTTTTGAAAGAATGACAAATCGGGGCCGTATCGTATCAGCGATAAGAACGAGTGGAGTTGTCAAAAACCTCGGGAGGCAGTATTAAGTATTTATGTAGCACTACGACACGGACCCAAACTGCAGGCAAGTGCCAGGTAACAGAATATAATGTGAGGGTTATTCATGCAACTGTAAGCTGAGTCAAACACGGGTAAATGTGCCTGGTGAGTTGGTGCAGTTCATTGAATTTGTAGAAGTAAGTTTGCGGCAGCGGTGGATGTTTGGATGTTTCTACTAACTATTTATGTTGTGGTGGAATCAAGCTGGGTGAGGCTGAAAAGTTGCTTTTCTGCTGCCGAAATCCAAAACTTCTGCCCGCGCTTCATCCCCACCACACAACATCAACAACATGATCGGATCTGGCGACCACGCATCAACCTTCCCAGCTCTTTTCAGTTTCTCGGTCTCCGTGATACGCCTACGGCAACCAGTTTCCCCTCTCCCGACCAAGGCGACTGTCTAATCTGTTGTAGGTTTCTTGCCCCTCATCATAATCTTGCCCAATTGAGTTATGTTAGCTGATAACCCCCAGTCATTCCAGCCAGGCCCCCAGGAAACCTGATCGCCCACTGCATAACTACCTATTCAATTTTACTTTATATTGTGAAGAAACATACGCCCTCACCGTCCACTATTCTACATTCTTACTTACCGGTTTCGGCTTATGATACCCGGGAGCTGGACTCGCTCATTACATCCATCCCACGATTTGGTCTGATTTGTTTGCCGTGATTGTAACCCTTCTATCGTTGCGCCCAGAACAGTAATAAAGTCACCAAACTTGTCCTGCTCGAGTGCGTGAGCTACCGTCTCCTTGCCTGCTTTTCCTTGAAGCTACCGCGCTGCCGTTGTCCACCATCATACCTATCCAGCCATACCCCCGTGCAAACATGGAAGCCCAAATAGAGCGAGCGGTGACGGAGAAGAAACCAGTTCCCGAAATTGACTTCACCCTCCATACTATGGAAGACGGAACTCAAGTTTCTACACACGAGAGGGTTTGCAAAGGTGACTCCTTTTTCAAGCTTTAAACTTCCTTACAGAAATTAATTGCTTTCCATAGACGTTCAAGCGCCGGCTTTTCAACTGCCGACCAACGAACAATTCTGGTCGCCGGAAGACCCGTCGAAACCTAATCTGCAGTTTCTTAAACAGCATTTCTACCGTGAAGGTCGCCTTACTGAGGAGCAAGCATTATGGATTATACAGACAGGAACTCAATTATTGCGCGCAGAGCCTAATCTTTTGGAAATGGACGCGCCTATTACCGTTTGTGGAGACGTCCACGGCCAGTATTACGATCTAATGAAGCTATTTGAAGTTGGTGGAGACCCTGCAGAGACGCGATACCTGTTCCTTGGCGATTACGTTGATAGAGGTTATTTCAGCATCGAGGTATGCATCCATCCCCTCTGGAAGCCGATGATAGGAACGGACGTTTCTGAACATTCATGCAGTGTGTCTTGTACCTCTGGGCCTTAAAAATATGGTATCCGAATAGTTTATGGTTGTTGCGCGGGAACCACGAGTGTCGTCATCTCACGGACTATTTTACATTCAAACTGGAATGTAAGCACAAGTACTCGGAAAAGGTGTACGATGCTTGCACGGAATCATTCTGTGCTTTACCACTCGCTGCCGTTATGAACAAACAATTCCTATGCATCCATGGTGGCCTCAGTCCTGAGCTACATACACTAGAGGACCTGAAGTCGGTAAGTTTGCGGATAAGTGCCACGCGAATTGTGTTGTTACATTGTTGCTAATTGTTACTAGATCGACCGTTTCAGGGAGCCCCCAACCCAGGGCCTCATGTGTGATATCCTTTGGGCTGATCCACTGGAGGAATTTGGCCAAGAGAAAACGGGAGAGTATTTTGTGCACAATAATGTGCGAGGATGTTCGTACTTTTTCTCCTACCCGGCTGCTTGCGCATTCCTGGAGAAGAACAATCTACTTTCCATAATTCGAGCCCACGAGGCGCAGGATGCCGGGTACAGAATGTATAGGAAGACCCGAACGACCGGATTCCCGAGCGTGATGACGATATTCAGCGCGCCAAATTACCTCGACGTTTACAACAATAAAGCCGCCGTTCTGAAATACGAAAACAACGTAATGAACATCAGACAGTTCAATTGTACTCCTCATCCGTACTGGTTACCTAATTTCATGGACGTTTTCACATGGTCGCTCCCTTTTGTTGGCGAGAAGATTACCGACATGCTTATCGCTATCTTGAACACCTGCTCCAAAGAAGAGCTGGAAGAAGAACCTTCCTCATCAGTATCGTCCGGCCCTGCATCGCCCCACCTTCCAATGGACCCCGAGAGTACTGAATTCAAAAGACGCGCGATCAAGAACAAGATTCTGGCTATTGGCCGTCTCTCGCGGGTCTTCCAGGTACTACGTGAAGAAGCGGAGAGAGTCACTGAGCTTAAAACTGCCTCTGGTGGCCGTCTCCCTGCTGGCACGCTCATGCTGGGAGCAGAAGGTATCAAACAAGCGATCCATAACTTCGAAGACGCGCGCAAGGTCGACTTGCAGAATGAACGACTTCCTCCAACCCACGAGGAAGTGCATAGGAAGAGTGAAGAGGAGCGGAAACAGGCATTGGAGCGTGCTGCCCAGGAGGCAGAGAATGATACTAGCCTAACTAACATGGCTAGAAGGATCAGTATGTAAGTTTATCATTGTTTCTTTGTGGGACTATATTTTCCGAGTCAACGAAATGCGATACTAACAGAAAACAACACAACAGGTCTTCTGGCTCGAGTAGAAGCCGTCGGACCCGGCCAGAGTAATGGCGCCAAAGGAAATTGAAAAGAGCGAAAAAGGAAAAAGGAAAATCGTTCAAAACAAATTTAGCACCCGTTTCGAATTAAAATAACGACGTCATATCCCGGTTTATTTTTTAAACTCATTAGCTAGCTAAGCTTTTGCGCCACGATGTAATTGCATGTTAAAAAGACCAATGTCCCACAGCTTGCGTTACGAAGAGATAGACCTTTTGCTTGTTTTTGGTGTGAAGACGCTTTGAAAGGGCAGGAAGGCGACTGCTGGAAAAGCCCAACATATGTGGATGTGCTATGACTGGTGTTGCTTTTCTTTCTCTCTCTCTGTCTTTTTTTTTTCGCTCCAATTCTCTTCTATAATGCCGAAATAATGACCTTACTTTTTGACGCAGCCTTTGAAAATATGGGGCAGGGCCTCTATATTAACTCTCACCTCAAATGCAATTAGTACTGACAAATGCCTCTCCCTTTTTATTTATCTGTTCTTCGCCGCTGTTCTTGCTCTGTCCTAATCTCCTTCCCATACAGCGCTCTGTTCAATCTTCCAGGGATATGCGAATGATACCGTCAACTCTGTTGCCACGTCACTGAAATTCGCCTTCTGGACGTTGCTATCTCAGGGTATCTTTAGAAGAAATCATTTTCAATATACTAAAATAAATAAAATGTCCCAAAAGCCGTTTGAGGGCGTGTTGAGAACAATGTCTCTAGACGCTGAACTGATAAAGTGAGCGCAGTCAGCACTTGTCGGCTATTCCCAGATTTTTTCAACCTGCCTTCCAGAGACTGTCATCAAAGAAAGGGGCTTTGTCAGAGGGGTTCCCAGTAAAGTTGACAAAGTGACCGGTTGAGATGCATTGCGGCTATACATCACATGTAGAATGATCTAAAATATCCGATTCAATGTATAAAAGTAAATAAAAGAGGTGCCGTGGCAAGCCTCCACTGTATAGTTAGATAAAGGGAAGGAAATTAAAAAATATACTAGAAAGTGAAGCAGCATGAGTCCTCTGATTTCCATCTAGCAACCTGGGTGTAACTGTATCTGGTATTTAGCCCATTGCTGTTGTCTCTCTGCTCGCCAGGAAAAAAATGTTTGTCGATGGGTCAAATCCCCAGCTGGGAAAATTGTGTTTTTTTTTTTTTTTTTTTTTTTTTTTTTTTTTTTTTTAAACCAAACTCCGTCCTCAAATGATCAACCCTTAGCAAACAAACCCATTTCCCCTTCTTTCTCTCAATGCCACCAAAACTCCATTCTTCTCTCTCGAAGCAGGCTATCCCGCTCACAGAAGCCGTCTTCTTCTGTCCGTCCTGCTCAATATGGCGCTATTCATTGCCCTCGCTGACCACACGCCGGCGCAACAGGACTTTTAACCCACGTCGCTCCCGCTTCACGTCAACTTTCGCAGCCCAATATAGAGCTGCACACACAGTGAATATCACAAGAAATATACCAGAGCGGTTTCAAGGGCTATATTCCGCATTAAATGGTGTCCATGATACTGCTGCCAACCATGTCAATTCGAGTAGGCTGCAATTGGCGCTAAGGGGGCTGGAGACTACGAGGCCGGTGATCCGGCTTGCTGGTATGTCTTTGAAAGCTCTTTTTAAACTGCCTCGGAAAGAACGCAACCTGTTCGTTTCCGCTTTGAGGCTCGGATTTGGGCTGACTGGATCAATTGACTACTACAGTCCTCGCTTTGGATGATACAACTACGACAGCCAGGCTTGTCCGACTACTACTGGCAGATCCCTTGAGCCCGAAACAAGCATGGGAGGATTATTTAGAGAAGCATCGGATGGATGGATCTCGCAGTCTATTGATAAAGTACGACGTCGTCGAATGATGCTTCTTTATTAAGTACTAATAATGACCGGGTTTGTAGGTATGGAGACCAAACGGATCTCGCAGTGGAGAACAGCCTCGTACCAACGATATCAATACCCTCGAGAACACTGCAATCTTCCAACCTGGAGATCCTTATTTCACCTCTCAGGGCGAACTCGAATTCAGATGTCCATATCACCAGAAACACGTTCCTCGTTCCAACAATCGCCATCCAATCGACCAGTACTGGAACCCATACTTTTATCCGGTACCCGGTCCACAAGAGCATGATTTGTGGAAAGGAGATTGATGGGTTGTTAGCATATACAAGACTAGCCGAACGTGCAAATATTACAGACATGGATTCGATATGTGCATCGTTCGACTTCAGTTTAGGCCAAGGTTCAACCCAAAAGGGGAATGGGATCTCATGTGTCGATATCGAACGTGCAGAGGTGGCATTGAATACGTTTCGAGAGTCGGTCCAAAACGCCCCGGAATACGAGAAAGGCTGGTCGGGAAGCGGTGTCCAGCTGCTCATAGATTGGGTATCAACCTCTCCGAAGGATGACATCCTAGATCCGTCGATTAAGAGGCTTGTAGGATCATTGTTAGACGAGGCCGAAGAGAGCATTAACGCCGAAGAGAACAAAAGGATACTGGCGCAGCAAGCCAAGAACGTCACGGAAGAGGTAAGGCTGGATTTGGATAGGACAGTCAGCGCATGGGCGGAGCGTGCACACACAGAACTTCGTGACACACTCAACGAAGGATTTGCAAATAAAGCGTGGCGGAATCTAGCTTGGTGGAAGTTGTTTTGGCATGTGGATGACGTGGGAATGATCATCTCCCGTGTATTACGGAAGAAATGGCTCCCCGAGGCTGAGAAAGAGGTAGTCTGGATTGGTGGGAAAATTCACCAGGCCGGATTACTGAACAACCTTTCAAATTCAACGGCCAGAATTCAGGAGTTACCTGAGCTCGGGGGATCCCATACTGGAGAATTATCGTCGATGTCCTCTGAGAGGCTTTGGCCAACGCAAATCTCAGACATTCGCGACAGCCTTACAACCTCAAGCGTCCCCTCCCTGCATTCCGTCGCGCAAAATCTTGTCTTCTTTAGTTTATCAACGACATCACTCAGCGCTGCGCTGTCTGCTTTGGTGTATATTTCGACATCTGGCACTTCGATGTACGAAGCCGGCACGATCGCAACAATTGGGCTTTTCGTTTCGCTACGCCGGCAGCAAAAGGGATGGGATTCTGCACGTAGCCTGTGGGAGCATGAGGTCCGCGAAGAAGGCCGCCGCGCCCTGAGGGACACTGAAGAGGTACTGCGTACCATCATTCATGAGGGCGGACGGGCTATCGAAGAAGCCCCTGAAACCGAAGCCAGGCAACAAATCCACAAAGCCCGTCAAGCTCTCTCGGATGTAAAATAATAGTTTCCCTTTAGTATCCTATAGTACCTGTTCCTCCTGCAAGCTATCAAAAATAAAAGGAGACTTGTAGACCCCCCAAGTTTTCAATATCCCGGAAGCAAAACCAAATAATCGCAGTCGTAGGCATCAAACTTAGCCAATTTCCACACTCCCCTCCGGCACCCCGCTTGTACTCCTCAACCTACTCGCGGAGAAACCGCATAATAGGAAACATTTCCTCCCGATTGCTCGGCATCCCATCCCCCCTCCTCCCCCTCCACCTCACCACCTCCACATTCCCAAAATTCCCCTTCGTCCTACCTATCCCCGCATCCGAAAGCGCACTCCCAGGGCCCTGACCCCCAACCAACAAGACGGGCGTCCCCGCCTTCCCCGCCCCATCCTCTTTAATAGCCGAAAGCGGCAAAACCCCTCCTATCGCCACAATTCCGCCCAGCTCCTTCTCCCCGTTCCCGTTCTTCCCATCCGCATCATCCATCAACGCACCCCTACCAACCTCCAGCCCAACACTCAACCCCATACTAGCCCCCTGCGCATATCCCAGTATAAAAATCGCCCTCCCGCGATACCCAAGCTTCCGCACCAGGACCGGCAATATCAGCTGCCGGACGATCTTATCCGTGGCGCGCGAGAAGCCCGGATCTGCGTCGAGAGCATCTGGATCCAAGAGGATGTCGTCGCCCCAATGGTAGCCGGGGAGCTCGAAGGGGAGGGGCGTGGGCGCTTGCAGGGCGATGCAGGTTGTTTCGGGGAGGTGGAGGGCGGATGCGAAGGAGGTAAAGGAGGCGATTGTGTCGCCTAGCCCGTGGAGGAGGAGAAGGATGTTTGTGGATCGTGAGGTTGGTGGGGGTGTTATTGTGAGGATTAGGGACGGGGGGAAGTCGGAGGGTTGGGGGATGGGGGGCATTGTGGGCGTGTACGTAGGTAATTGTGTGGAGGAGGTTCGGTGGTCATGACAAGTGTCGGGAAGGCGGGTAGGGGTTTTATTTGATGTGGACAATTCAGAGGGGTTTGCTTTATTATTTGGGAAGTGGGGAGGGGTTGTGTTTTCGATGTTTTGTTGCTTCTGGAATGCGGTTGACGTTCCGTTTCGAAGCTTTCCTGGCGTGAGGTTTAACTGGATAAGCTTATTTATTGAGTGGGCGCATTGCAGGCTTCGTGGTCACTATCTTGATTGCATATAATAGATATTGTTCTTACCTCGTAAATGAAGCAGAATTTGTAGCCGTGATTTGAAAAGAAGCTTCATTCCGGTGGATATTTACCTAAAGGGGGCATGTGGACATTAATAAACCTTACAGAGTAGAGTATTGGAACAGCATTTGAATCCTTAACCAGTCTCTTCAACAAAAAAAAAAAAAAAAAAAAAAAAAAAAAAAAAAAACAGGTATTTAGGTAAAAGGCCTGTCTAAAAGTTTAGACAGAGTACAGAGTATAGAGCAGGTAGAACAAAGGCAGGTCATTGAATAAAAAAAAAATGAACCAGCCTCTTAAATATCAAATCTAAAATATCTATGCCAAACGCCCAGGGAAAATACTGTGATAAAATAATATTTACAAAAAGAACGAGAACGAATCGCACGGACATCACCCCACATTATAATCCGTAATGAATCTCACCCTCAACCTGAGGTAAACCCATCCTTCGCAATCCTTCGAATAGCTTCATTACTCAGAATGCGGCCACCTTCCGATACACCAGAACCATCCAGACCCTTCCCATCGCCCATCGCCAACACCGTCGCCGCCAACCCAATGTCCTGAGTCGGTGAAACTATACTCGGAATAAAATTCCTAATCAATGGGGTAAAAGCACCCAGAACCCGATAGCTCAGCGGAAGTTGGCGGTTGGCTGTTGCTTGCTTCACTGCTTCATCAGAGACTGAATCGACGAAAGCTGGCTGGAGAGAATAGGGCTTGAACGCTGGGATTTTGTGTGCCATTTCGATTAGGGATTGTTCGCATTCGCCTTTGACGGTTGCGAAAAGTTGGGTGAATTTGCCTGGCTTTGTTGTGGCCTATAAACGCTTCTGTTAGTGGTCTAGCCTGATATAGAGTTATATCTACAGCGTATAGTATAAATACACCTATATATATAGAGAGAGATCATTCTGGTATGATTGCTTGATATGTAGCAGAAATGGCTGGGATTAAGAAAGAAGACTTACCCCTTCACCTATTTGCCGCATAGTCAGCGAGGGAAATGTCACCTAGATGGATAGTAGTGGAAGTTAGGACGTACCTGAAATGTAAACAAACTTAAAGGTATTAGCCAGAGTACTGAACGCCCTGGCTGCTGTTAATGGATAATCCTTGGTAATTGTGATGTACTCCCTAACCAAAAAGCTCGTCAATACATTCCATACCAAATCATATTGATGTAGTTGGCTAAGTAGAATACTCACTCCCTGCCAACCTGCTACTGTGCTATACCCTGTGCCCACACGCACCCCTCAGCCCCCTCAAGCAGTTTCAGCAGCGATGTAGGATACTCATTGAAATTTTTGTGCTCAATGACAGTTACTCCTAGCTTCCCTTCTGCCATAGGTACAGGCCCACAGCTGAGGATTGTCAACTTCGAGATCCGCCCAGGGATCAGGCCCCCGTGAGGATGAGGTGCATGGGTTAGAGTAAGTTGCTCTTTTTTGTTATTTATATATATATATATGTATGTATATATACCTAGGTGTATATATTTCTTGCAGAGAGGCAGAAATGAGTGAAATCAGCTATGAGTTAATTGTCAGGTCACGTGATCTGGCTTACTAATCCTTCCACCATATAACTTTCCACAAGCTAGCAACCTTTCAATCACACAAGCTTTACACCTTTCACAGATTATGAGACCTGTTTTGCACAAAAATTGCTGCCAATTCGGGATTTCTTGTCAATATAATCATTATTTTAACTACTGCTTCATTCAATATACTCATCAGAAGTTAAAATCATCTTATTCTATCAGTATTAAGATCTTATTAATCAATAATACTACTACTCACTTAAAAAAAAGAGACTTGCAGAAAACACATTACATTACAAAAAAGAAAGAAAGAGAATAATATTAACAAGAATTCAATAAATGAATATTAAGATGATGAATTCAATACAATCTCACTTACATATATAGCTCTGATGGCTGAATGATTAATACAGTCATCTGATAGTGTTTTAGCATGAGAAATCAAGATACATGAGTTCAAAACTCACAGAGAATACATTAAATTCAGAACTCAAGCATCTCAGATTTCTAATAAATACAGAGATGTATAAATTACTTTAATGAATTACTCTATATTTCTGAGCTGAAAAGTTATTATTAATATATTTAATTATCACTTCTTTGTATTTTTCTATATTCTTATTATCTTGATATAATCTTAACATCTGTATTTTCTTCTGTATAATTAACACTTAATCTGTATTTAACATTATACAAGAACTTATCATAAGCTCTGCTTGTATATAAGTATAATAAAAGAATAATAATAATAATAATACTTATATATATATTCACAATCTTACATTCTTTTTACTAAGTCAGTTGCAGTTAATGATAATAATTCTTTATACTTATACTTTATTAGTGAATATTCTTCTAAAGCTTTTAAAAGCTTTATTAATAAACACTCTGAAATACTTTCTTAATTCAAAGCTGATTTAAATTCAGCTTCTGACATAGTCAGACTAATTTCTTAATCTACTTAATAGCTTAATACTGATTCTTATAATAAGAATAATAAATATTCAGATATCTACAGTTCAGGTCAGATAATATCAGATTAATAAATAAAATATTTTAAGATAATATTTGAAATAAAAAAGAAGAGATATAGAGTTTTAGAACTTAAATTATAACTAAAAAAACTTTATTAATAGAGATTTTCATTCTCTATAGATTAATTACAGAATGTTAATAATTATTCTATTATTATCTTAATAGTCTGTACAGTTATATGAAATTCTAATCTAAGTAAAAGATTGAAATTCAATCTTTATAAACTGAATAGCTGTGTTGACAAGATAATCTCTTAATTTAAGAAAGATATTAAAAATACTGTGAGAGTGAATAATCTAACTAATACATTTAATTACATTATATAAAGTATCTTCATGAAATTAAAACTGATTGATACATAGTATTAATATATAATAGAGAAATAACAGACTCAGAACTCTCTATAAAGAGATAATAAATAAGTATTATTCTAAAATACTAGAAATTAATAACTCTATACATTCATCTTAAACTTACTGAGTGCAGGTATCAGATTATATTTCTTTAAATATAATAAAAATCAGATTACTTATACTCTCTGAAATGTAATTGAATAGAAATACTTAGTTCTTAAAATATAGTTATATTATGAGATAGTTCTGAAATTCATATTACTTAATAATATACAGATCATTAATCTACATATATACTTTAATAAGTTTCAGTTCATTATTATAAAATTAAAGATGATAAATGCTTTTCTCTTAGATATATAAATATTTAATATCTTCTACTCAGTTCTACTCAACAATTGAAGAGATTATGTTTAAAAGAAGATAGAGAAGATACAGAATTTCAAATTCACAGCTATAATATTGAATATTAATCTTCTCATAAATAGACTGACTGACAGAATTATGAATTTCACATTTAATCTCATTTGATCTGATCTTATACATTTCTTAATGTAAGTCTCACCAGAATCAAGCATTAAAAAAATCTGAAAATAAATCATTTCTGAGAGAAATGATGTGAAAAATAATCAGATTTAATGTAAGAACAGTGAAATGAGAGTAATTTCTCAGAATAGACTATAAAAGATGATCATTCTTTTAAAATCAGAATGAGACTGAGACTGAAGATCAAATTCAGTCTCATTTAGTTCATTCAGTGATTGCTTATATAATCAGCATTTGGTAATGATTATTAATAATGGTCATGAAACAATTAAATACATTCTTATATAAGTTTATTCTTTACTTTCTTATGAAAACTACACTTCTCTGATATACTATGATTAGAGATATTAAACTATCTAATAATTCTATATTTTATAATCATGAGTTTCTTAATTATTTCTTCTTATAATTGTCTCTGATAATAGTGATAAATATCTCAGCTTAAGTTGAACTTTCACTTCATTCTCATCTCTATCAATGAAATTATCAGAATATCACATGTTATCAGTGTAATAGTTGAATATATACTCTCAACAATTTTTCATAACTCTAGAATTGATTTGATGTGTAAATTCATCAGATTATCTTGAAGATAGCAGTTAAATTCAGTTTTACAAGTATGTAGTTTTGTCTGATTTTCAGTTGTAATTAATATATGTAAGTTCTGTTTCAAAGTTAGTATTATAGTTCTGTATAATATAAAGTGTTACTAAAGATTATTACTTACTAGAGAATTGTATTTCACTGTCTTCACATCTTTAATATCTGCTTATTCAAATCTCTGATAGTTAATATTGTAGTAGTCTCAGACTAATTTAATATATAAGTTCTATTTCTTCTCTGTTTAATCTTGAGAAGTGTAGATATTAACTTAATAAAAGAGATCTAGTAGAGCTGCTACAGTATAGTACTCTGTAAAATATTGTTCAGTTTTACTGTAATAATATATCAGTTTATTTCTTACAGTAATAATAGCCTGTGCTATAGTATTATCTCAGACTGAATTTCTTTTTAAGTGATTCAACTGCTTCTCAAGATAAGTAAATAAACTATTATACACTTATCAGACTGACTGAAGTATTGATGTATAAGTGATTGAGACTGTCTTCATTATCTTATAAAACTGAAATAGTAAATGAATTATATATTTCAACTGAGTTTACTTTATATTAGAAAGTTTCAATATCTGAATCTTTTTCTGATCAGAGTGTTACACTCAATGATTAATTATCTGACACAATCAAAGAGTCTGAATAATTATCTTATATATTAAACTTCACTATGTTTTAATATTCTGTATCATATTCAGTGATATGACTGATTTATTTATTTATTGAATATTATGAAATTATTATTGTTATTTAGAAGAGATACAAATTATATTAGCAATGTTTTAAATCTATAATATTTAAATTATTAGTTAATCTATTCAAAATTAACAGTAGTGTTATTAAAAAGTATTATTAAAAAGTAATATTAAAAAGTGTTATTAAAAAACATTATCTTTTATAAAGTAAATATAAAAGTTACTGAAGTAATTACTTTCATCTTATTCTTATCTCAAGAATCAGTCATCTCATTATTTATTATCTCAATGTTAAGATTCTTTATTAGTGTTTATATTATAAGTTAAATCACATAAGTAATACAGAGAATATGACCTTATTTATTATTTCAGAAATATAAAGTTAATTTTTACTTTAAGCTCTTTATTATAGTGTAGTTATTCACAGTATTATCAGTTATAATTATGAGAAGACTGAAACTAATATCTCAATAGTTGTTTTTAATCACTGTTATTAATATCTCTGCTATATAATTCTCAGTATAACTACTAATCAATGATTCAAATTCAATTAATGTCTCTTAATAAGTTCAGTTCTTATCAATGTAATAATATATAACTCTTATAAAGACAAGATTGTTTGTACTAGTTCATGCATTCATTGTGAGAGACACTTTTTAATAATTATTCAACTCTGATTCTAGATGTTATATATTGACTTTGTAGTATATCTTGAGATTGAACTGAAGATATAATTGATATGAAATATAAAGATTTGAATTAAGTATTTAAAGAAGTGTTTGAAATTCAAGATTTTCAATTGATTGAAGAGAAAGATTCAGAAATATACATATATAAAGTAATTATTCATAGAAGTTATCAGATAAGAGTTATGAAATCAGAGTACTGATACATGATTATTTTTACATAATTTTCTTCAAATTAGAAAGTTAGTGTTATCAAAAATTATTATCTAGTAGAGTAACTTATCAGCTCAGTAGTAATTTTCTGATTATTTTTCTTTTATTATCTACATTCTGATGACTTCAGATATTATGAAATTTCATCAGAGTTATAATCAGTTCATAATGAATGTTTCTGAATAAAGTTACAGTAATTATAGTAGAGAGATAACTCTTCAGTAATCTATAATATAATCTGTTAATAATTATTTCATAGTTCATCTTGATATTTATATTGAGTTTTTCATAAATTTCATGACCTGAAATCAGATGTGAAGAATGAAGTGATTATTTATTATAATTGAAAGAGAGCATTCTGTGTTGAATTGTAAATAATATAGACTTTGTAATTCATAGTGATTTCTTAAAGAGTTTGTGAATCTTCAATAGAAGTTAAAGAAGTGAAAGAAGTGAATTCAGAAGATATAATAAAGATTTAAGAAAGATGATAATTTATTTTTAATAAAGATAATAACTGATCACTGATGTGTATAAGAAGAATTATTATAAGAGAAAATAATCTTCTTAACTTAGTTATAATTCTAGTACTAACTCAGATATTACATGAACCGCTTCACCATGAACTCACTAGATTTTTTGAATAAGAACCCGCCAATAGATTCA